ATACTTTGAGCGGCTTCATGAAGGGGATTTTAGTAGATAATCTTTGATAGAGAAAGTTCATCAAAAATCATTTCGGATAATGTATAATATTTGGTAATTCCTTATATCATTAATAAACTGTTCCGCTCATTGAATGAAATGATTTCAGACAGCAAAAAGAAAATGGAATTTCATCAGATATACAACTACATACCAACACTTTATCAGTTTAATATCTTATTTCTACAATATACGTGATAGAAAGCTAAAAAGTGACTTATCTGTAAAGCTCTTAATTGATTGAAAAACTAATTGGAAAGAAATTTTGTTACGTGACACCCAATGATAATTTAAAATTAACAATTCAGTTAATGGTAGAACAATATTTCAGTAATGAGAGCATTATCACTGAACGATTGTTTCAACAAATAATTTTAGCAGATGTATGGTAATGACTTTTGTTTATGTATATCGATCTAATAGTTCTATAAAAATTATATTTTCATTCATTTTTAGAAGATGAATAAATGTCCAGTCACGACATTTAAGATTATTGATGTGTGGTAATGATAGCTAAATATAATTAGTCACTAAGCCTAGATAAATAGGCACGTAGCCTAAGGACTACTAACTATGTAATTTCCTTTCGTTTCATTGATTTCTACTCCAGATTCACTGAGTGTGACTGCTTGTATATGTATTGATTAAAGTATTATCTAGGCAAATACATGATCCTATTTCTAAACATTTCTCTTTTTGGTTGGTCAAAAATGTAAAGGACAGTAGTAATAATAAGCTGTTTTTTTCACATATTTAGTCAATATCTGTCAATAGGTCGAAATAAATTTATCTCTCAAAGTTACCCATAAGATTCCATCGAACTAACTCTATATTTCAAAACCTCATTCTTTTACATACAACCAAAACTATAAGTATACACACCGACAAACCTAATCTTTATGTACATAAGAAATTAGTACAATCTCTTAATTTACCCAGAACTCCATTTAAGTTACTGTTATAACGGATGAATTAGAATTACTTTTTTTCCTAGGCATACTACAATATTATAATTCAACTGGTGGCTGAGATTTTCCCGAATACTTCACCGATATGCTATACATAGGCTAGATCGTGTTAAATAAGGTACATGATTCACGACCAGAAGTAAACGCCAGACTGTACTTTATTCTACACAGCTACAAGTAGTCACTCTCAGTGAGTCCAGAGTAGAAATAAATGACAAGGATTCAGATACATCCAGTTGTCGAGTTTCAACTAGGACGAAACGTGCCTCCTGGATATCACTGCTAGTTACATTCCATTTATTCTCAATAACAGGAAAAGAAATCACATTTAATAGTTAGTAAGCTGTATCAGTTTGTCTACGCTCCATGGTCAATCAAATTTACGTTCATTACAATTCATTCGTTTCTCAATGTGTTCAATTTATGACTTTATCATTACGTAAACCATCTATCTATCTTAATAATGTGATTGAGTGATTTTCTTTGCACACTTTTATTAATGACTTAATTCTTATACTCACGTAATGTGTTAATATATAATCTTATATTTGTATTAAATTTTTCATCCTTTAGGCTAATAAGTGATTATTGATTTTTCAGAAAATATTGAGATACATTGTTCAACTGATCTATCACCAGTTATTTCATACTGATTTTGTTGGTAACTGTTAAATCCATATATCATTGTAGGGCCAAAATGAAAAGAAATATTTCTTCCCTCAACCTGTTTTTAAGTAATAGTGACAAATAACTCAATTGCTCATTAACCATACTTACCACTAAAATCTATCGATTAACTGAGTAGATGGATTTCGGCTAGCAGTGAAATCCAGGACAAGCATTCTTTTTTACTATTTGGGACTCGTCAACCGGATATACCTCCATCTTAGTGTTGATGTTTTAACTGGACCTCGATACCAAATAGCAACCTCTCATTTATTCAATAAAAACTTGTAAATGGCTATATCAAGGCAATCCCTGCAAAAAAACACATGCCGACCAAGGCTGATCGAAATTCAGTCAAGAATATCAACTTAAAAATTTTTAATAATGCTTATTTAATTAATTTACAAATATTAGTGATATGATAGGAGAAGAACAGAGCCTGATGATTAGACTTTTTTTCATTGAGTGACCTACGAATTCCATATCTTCCAGTAGCTTATTTCAAATGAGTTTTTATCATACTTATTTCTTGTATTTAATAATCAGTGTATAAGTACCTAAACTTCTGGGCATCTGACTATCTTGTATTCTGATATTTGTTCATTTTGAGAGCTTATTTACTTACGCCTGTTACCCATCGTAGTGGACTATAAGCCGTCCATCAGCATTCTCTGTCCAACTCTATCCTAGACACACATCAATAATTCCGCTATTGAACAGTTATCACTTGATCACATTATATCATTGTACATTGTCAGTCAAGCAGTATTGTATTCATTTATTATCATAAATCATTAAACTTTCATTCATAACAATTACCTACAATGGGTGATAATAGGTCATATGTCGAAAAAGTTGTTTTTTCCTTATTACATGCTAACAAATTTCGAAATCACTATCATGTTTTATTAGTTCCTTTATCTTATTATTAAACTAAGATTAACAATAAGTTTTGTGACATTATAACCATAGATATATAATAAGTACACTTTAATAAACTAATCTATTTAATAACTACACTTGAAAGGTAATGAGTACTCGATTGTTTTTTTTTACTCAACTTGGAATAATTTTAATATCAGAAAGAGTATTATAGTAATTTCATTAGTTGAGATCATGAGTCAATCAAAGCTAGACCACCATGGAAAACCTGGAAGCACTCAACAGTCATTTCGTCTTATTGTGGGACTCCTCAGTATTGAATTGAATAACTTTAAAGAAACTTTAATTTAGTCACTTAATTGTTGACAAGATTTAGAATATGATGAAATATATATAAGTTTGTTACGAAAAAGACAAATAAGAAACGTGAAATTTTATTACGTCGATTACATTTACACTTCGATCATTTGGTTTAGTCTGAAATAAATATACTTTGATCATAATGAACCGATTATCATTTGTACTATACATTTGAAACCAGATTGTAAAATGATCTCGTTATTTATTAGTCAAGATTAACACTGTATTTTACAAATTGATTTAAGCTTTGAAAATCTACTTTTGTTGGAATTGCCTAACAACAGGTTGGAGTCCTATCAAAGTGATTGTCAGAGTCCATTCGCATGAGATATAGCCATATTCTTAATCTAATGAGAACTCTAGAGGTAGAAGTTTGTAACTACTGACTCATTTTTCTTCATCGTTGAACATACTTCAAAATGTCGCATGTCTAAGTCGTCATGCTGCTATGACGTATAAATTCGATGTGTTTATGGAGAAAGTCAAACCAGAATGTGTTAATCTGGCCCATTTATGGTTCATTTTCAACGTTATTCCGATCATATTTAATCAGGTGGTCATCTCAGTGAGTTCAGTTCATTACTCGTGATTTTTTCCTATTATGCCGATGTACAACCAAGTGGTTTCAGAAGCCGTTAGACTGTTAAAAATAGAAGCTACTGTAGTCCATTGTGTAATTTTCTGATTACCTCATCCATGAAAAAATAGAGCATTTTAACTGACCGAAATTCAATTAGCTTGTTTTCTTAACTAAACTTTATCTTTTAATACATACTGTTGTTTATTTATTGATGAACAGTATGACTTTCGCGTCTTCTATTTATTCACAATGTTGTTATTTCGCTGGAATACGGGATACCACAAAGTCAGTTTGCTAGACCGTCATGACCTACTTCTTTAAATTGTGATAGAATAACCCGTCAACCATTTCAGTTCTTGCCACTAGAAATAACTTCGAAACGATTGAGATTTTTTAGTCGAATTAAAACATAGTAGAGTCACTGAAAACCAGGCAAGCACAAATTAACATCATTCTTGATATTCAAGTTGTATCTACTTTCAATAAACCTTAATTAATTGATTAACTAAAGTGAATAATACATTTTCTGAATATGTTATAACGTCAACAAACAAAGTACAAGAACAGCAAGTAGGCTAAATTTTCCATCTAAACTAACTGGAGATACTGTTTATCATGCATGCAGCAAAACTTATTTTCATACGTTCAATGTATATGATTGTGAATTTGAACTGTGAAAATGCAAGACTTCAACATATGAGTTCTCTGATATACCGAAGGATGTGAAAAATCTAGTTAGTCAGTAAAAGCACATTCAAATAACAATAACTAATATATTCAGGAAAGAACGACAAATCACTTTTACACAAGACGTTAGCTCAAACTAAGTTGGTCCACTCACGGTTGTCAGTATAGTCTTACCAAGAATATTATATACAGCATTGTTAATTCGTTCAATCTTCAAAAGTATACTTTACCAACTGACGCTGAATTTAAAGACTTTTTCAGTGATTTATTAAATTAGGATAATTTAACAGTTCCAACGACAGCTTGCACTAACTAGGACCTTTGGGTCTCGCAGAAAATTTGTTACCAATTGGATAGCCATATCAGAATTCAAGAATCGATATTTTCAGTTCCAATTAACTGGTGAAAACATATCTTAACTTTTAATTCTGGAGCAGTAGAAAGTGCACAGTGTTAAGGAATATCTGTGAAGTGCTATCTTGGTTTTCAGTAAACTCTCAGCTAATATGTCAGTTCATGAGATAAAACTATATCCAGAAAAGAATGACATTAAAACATCTGTAGTTTAAACTTATCATTTAAACCCGCCCACACATTAATAAACAATTTCTCATAGCTTTCCACTTTGTACAACTCAAAGCAGTTACTTAATGATAAATATTTTTAAAATGTTATAATTGTTTATTACTAAAGACGAACATGAAAGTGATTACCTTTTTAATATCAGTGAATTATAGAAATCACCACGTCACTAATTTAGAAACAAGTTTAAACATGGTTACAGCTATGGTTAATTTTCTTTTCATCATGCAACATTTGGGCGGAAAAAGTGTGCACCCAGACTATATTGAGTAAACATTTCCATAACACTTGAATCAATCACTAATTCTTAATATTCACAGTCATACTTTCAAAAGTTATCGTTAGGGTTAAGGGAAAAAAACCACAACTGTTTTAATGTCAGCCCCCGGAAAAAACTAAAAAACAATACTTGTCTGATGTATAAGATGAAAATTAAAACCAATCAATAGTATATACACCATTATGTTTATGAATTCCTTTTATACAGTTCAACTTTTCCATCACTTTCTCTATACATTGAAATGATAAATAGAACACATTAATTCTTGTTTGTTTGAGGAAAGAAAATAAGTAGTAGCAGAATCAACAAGATTGTCACATTAATGTAAAAATGATTAGAAGACAGAGAGGTTGGTTGACTAACTGATAGCGATATCAAAGAGCAAATAAACAGACTAGTATATATATAGCGGTGCAACGGTAATTGGAGTCTATATATTTGGTAATAATAATAATAATAATAATAATCGAAACACCTTTTCAATAACAAATACAAAAGTAAGAGGATTACAAAAGTTTCAATCTCAAATACAGGAAAACAAGAAAAGAACAATGAATTGTTGCAAAATAGAAAAGCGTGATTTCACTTGCTCTGGATGAATTCTCTTTAGATAATAATAATACAAAACAGAGGAATGTGTGTAAACTAAGGAGAACTTAAATTGTAAGATAACTACAAATTCAAATGTAAAATATTAATTCAAAAATAAACAATAACAATTTGGTAGGATTCAACAGAGAATGCAAGATCAAAGTTGTAGTAGAAAAATTTCACGTGTGTGGTTGGGTGTGTATACAGGATAGATCAGCTTTTTATGTAGAGGATGAATGTGAGTCAGCAGGTATGACATATTGACTAACATATTTTTGTTGTGCATGTTTCAATGTGTCTTTTGGTCTGTTTCGTTTTAATTCACCATCCCTATGAATGAAGAAATAAAAATAGACGTGATAATATAAGAAGATAAACGACTGACTGTAGTTACTACATTGATGGAGTGGTCGTGGTGATCTAAGTAGGACACTATGATGACTCAATCGAGTTATATTGTATGGAACTGTCATTTTATGTCATGCAGGTTGGTTGGAGAACAGCAGGACTAAAGGCATCAACTTAAAGTCTAACGACGAAGTCATTTTCCTCACTGTACTACAGTTCTGATTGCACTAAGGCATTTGCCTTAGATAACCAGTATCTACAGTGATGTAGTCTTTCCATGACAGAACGTGGTAGTTAGAAAAGACCGGGACTAAAAACAAGATAGTTTGCCTTATTCCACATAGATTTTCGTCACCAGTGACAAGGCCCTTAAAATATGTTGCTAACAACATCAGGAACTATTTAGTCTCATGCAGTTGTCTCTTGTACATTGCGGCCAGACGGTTAACCACCTATTAACAAACAATACCTTTCAGTATTATTAGTTTAGTTGACTCCCAATACATCAATAACCTACTTCGTGTAACATTATTTCAAGATTTCCCTAACAGAAGTATGTGAAGGGAAGGGTTCAAACCTGCTAGCTAATTGTTTAAATGATGTGATCTAACCACGAACCCACTATTCCATAGAACAGACTTTACTTATAGAAGCCCCCATTTCTTAACTTTTATAGAATAATATCATTCGATTAAGTGTGTACCACATTTTTTCAGCAAACAAGAACAGAAACCTCGAACACGAATAATTGTGGTACTAAATCACTAAGTTTATCAACAAAAAGTCTTCGTTTTTTATTACCATTCCAACAAATAATTGTAAATCAGTATTTACTATAGATTAATATCACGTGGGAAATTATTGAAAATCGGATAACACCACATGACTGTCACATTTCAATTTCGAACTCCTTAGCAACAAGAGTTCAGGATATACACGTTATATGTCAAGTATGATGTTTTTAAACTACCGATAAGTCGAAATCCAACAGTACTGTGAGATTAGTAATTTGATCGTGAAGCTTCTATTGACTTATTAGATGATATGATCAGTACAAACAATAGTGAAATCATCAAATGTATCGGCTAACGGATCGCTCTAGTAATCTTGATACTGGTTGGTTGTTGCCGGCACTCATCCTGCAATTATCTACATATTTATTTAATTGTCTTCCACCCTGACCTAACTCTTCACCTTACAGTTGCTTGTGATTGTTATAGGTTTGATATAGACACGTTTATCGATCAGCGACTGATCTGAGTACCAAGCTTCTAAAAATTCCCTGGTTTTTATCAAAATTAAACCAAACAGCTAGGGGAACGCAAACTCAAACAGAATTATCCTTTTGAGCTAAAAATTTCCATTATTTTGAAAATGAAACTTTTTGTACTTTGTGGATATGTATAATTTTCGGATTTATGAGATCTATCTTTATTAATTTTTAAACCTGAAGGATTTTACTATAGAATTTCATATTTTTCATTCACTCATTCTCAACTATATATTCTCAGTTTTAGTTTTTCTGGGATTAGTCGCGTGTTGCAGAAAAAATTTCCGGTCTTCTATTTTGTTGCTTACAAAAATCAAGTGATCTGGTACGTCATTGATCACCGTGACGCAAATGTCAAACATTCTAGCCTGGAATCGAGTGTCATAACTGTTTTTTCGTTCTTTCTTTAGGACTGCATTCTTCATGTCCAAATTCTCGTTGTTTCCAATGTTTTCCATCCTATGCTTCTCATCATATTAAATTCTTGTTTATCTGATCTGAATTGTGGTAACTGGAACTAATGCACATGCATATCGGGTCCTTCGTTGACGACTGCTTAATGGATTGATGCTATTCAATTTTAAAGTGTAAATGCATATGGGTTCCAAGTAACGAGATTCTTCTTATCGCGTCATTCAAATTATTTAACCTCATGCTCTAGATAACCATCCTCTTTTTCCTCATCAATTTTTATTTGGTCTTAATAATTTTTATAGGTCAATTCTAAATGACAATCAACTGAAAACATTGATAGTTCATGTGATATTTTTAGATTTAACTACATCAATAATAAAAATACAAAAGAATGAGAACCCTATCAGTGAAGAGTCAATAGTCAAACTTGTTATTTAAAGTTTAAAGAAACTTCGATAGTGATTTGTTTTAAGTAATTACAGCAAAATGGATAAACGATAGTTAAAGAGGTGTTGACCAAACGAATCAAAATTCTAAACTATATACTCATTCATATGTTATACCTTCTATGCTTTGAAGGTTCTCAAATTATATTTAGTCGACTTTCTTGTTTTTGTGTGAATCACAATATCCGATTTCACTTACTTATTTATGCCTGTTACTCCTCGTGAAGGAGCAAAGGCCGCTTACCAGCATTCGCCATCCAACCCTGTCCTGGGCAATCCTTTCCAGCTCCTATTCATCCTTTTCATATCTGCTTCTATTTCCCAACGTAATGTGTTCTTTGGTCTTCCTCTATTCCGTTTCCCTTCAGGATTCCAAGTTAGGGCTTGCTTCGTGATGCAGTTTGATGATTTCCACAATTTATGTCCTATCCATTTCTATAGTCTTTTCCTAATTCCTTTTTCAGCTCGAAGCTGGTTTGTTTTCTTCCACAGTAGACTGTTGCTGATGGTATCCGGCCAATGGATGTTGAGTATCTTGCGTAGACAGCTATTTATAAATACTTGTACCTTCTTGATGGTGGTTGTTGTAGTTCTCCATGTTTCAGCTCTGTACAGTAGAACTGACTGTCTTGACGCTCGTATTGAAGATTCTCATTTTGATATTGGTTGACAGTTGTTTTGAGTTCCATATGTTCTTCAGCTGTAGGAATGCTGTCCTTGCTTTGCCAATCCTTGCCTTTACGTCTGCATCTGACCCTCCTTCCAGGTACGTTAAGGATTCTACATCTCCTAGAGTCTCGCCATTAAATATGATTGGGTTGGTGTTCTCCGTGTTGTATTTGAGGATCTTGATGTTTCTTTTGTGTATGTTGAGGCTTACATATGCAGACACTGCTGCTACACTGGCTGTCTTTATCTGCACTTTCTCATGTGTATGCGATATTGTTTTTTTAGGCGGCCTGCTTAAATATCTGGGCTACCTGTTTCTGCCATCTGATTATTTCAACAAGTTATCTGTTGTTTTCGTTTGTTTTAACTGATAATTATGTCCATTAATTGCATAACCTATTCAGGTGCTTTTATGAAAAGCCTACGACCTTTCGCTGCACAGGTTACAAAAAAGTACTATAAAAGACATCGTGGTGGTTGGCAATATGCGTTAAAGAGAATGAATATTAATCGTATGTCGATTCCAGAGCTCCTAAATTCTAACTGTCGATCGCCAATCAATAAAGTGGACTACCTGCAATTCCTACTAAGTCAAAATATGTATCGTAATTGTGGTGTCATCACAATTCAAGAATCTTGGTTAAATGATTTACAGGATGACTGCCTAGTATCACTACGTGATTTCATAATTTATCGTCAGGATTGATCAAACAATAAAGAGGCGTGGTGGCGGTGTAGCTACGTTTGTAAACATAAACTGGTGTCGATCTTCGTTTGTGTTTTAAGTTTTCAAATGACTTTATAGACTGTCTACGTGACTCCAGACTGCACATCATCTGCGTTATCTGATTTCTCTGATGAATTCACTGAGTTCGCTGTCGCTGCCTTCAGTGATTCATTTTCATTTGTATGTGGTGATTTCAATTCATGTGACTGTAGCTTCCTTACTTCACTAAGTCACCAAAATGTAGTAGATTTTCCTACTCGTTTGGATGCTCATTTAGACTATGTTTTCATTAATGATGTGGGTATATGTGCGACTCGTAAACGTGCTCCATTATCTAGCTCGGATCACTGTATAATTCGTGTTCTACCTACAGTATATGGAATGCATGGGAAGAGTACACTCTTACATCAAACCAAGAAAGTCAAATATAGGAATTACTCAGAAAATATACGAAATCTGAAAAACATGTTTCATACGACTAACTGGGAATTATTTACAGATGACTCACTGGAAACCACTACTGATGTTATCACTTGTTACCTTAAATTCTGTTCTAATATTTGTTGTCCCACTGAAACCATTTTTGTAAGTTTTGATCGACTTACATCTACACAACTTAAACGACTACGGAGGATGAAAGAAAGAATGTACAAGGAGAAGAACTCTAATGAAGTTCGTAAACTAAATGGTCTGATAAACCTAGAGATTAGACGTCTCAACTGTATGTTTACTCAAAAACTCTCCAAGTATGTGGAAACTCTTTAAAGAACTTACAGATGACAGAAAGTTTAGAAGCGATAACCAGCTGAATGTTTGTGACTTAAATAAGTCTTTTGTACGTCAGTCATCTGATGTGATGCTCCCTCTATCCACGGGTTTAAATAATAGCTGTATTCCTACTTTCACTGAGACTGATGTACGAAGATGTCTCCAGTCGCTTAATTCATCTCGATGTTTGGGACCTGATGGTATCCCAAACATCCTTTTTAAGTGTGCTGACGTCCTGCTATCCGTTCACAGCTATCTTTAACAGATCCTTCTCATCTAATCTCATACCAAAAATGTGGAGAAAGATGAAGATAATTCCTGTACCCAAGAAAGCATCTGGTGATAAGAATGTAAAATTTAGACCTATTGCAATAACTTTACCCTTCCTCAAAACACTGGAAAAATTATTAATACTTCCACTTCAACCTGCGATAAAAGAGCATATTGACCCATATCAGTTTGCTTACAGACGCAAAAGAAGCACTTTAGATGCTGTTGCTGTCCTGCATCACAACATAGTTTTCAACTTAGAAAAGGGTCAGAAGTATGTTCGATGTGCTTTTCTGGACTATACTTTAGCTTTTGATTCTATACCAAGACAACGTTTAATTAACAAGTTAATCAGCGTCAACACTGACAGCTGGATAGCCAACTGGCTATGTTCCTACCTCTCTGGAAGGGAACAGTACACTGTATTTTGTAGAAAGTGTTCAGTCTCTACTGCATCATGAAGGTGTACCACAAGGAGCTGTTCTTTCACCTCTTCTTTTCTCCTTTTTCTGCATGATCTGCCATCTTCCACAGAAAACACTTTTGTGAAGTATGCGGATGATCTCACTGTATGTATGCCTATATCTTCCTCTTTACATCCCATAGAAATGAATGAGTTTTTGTCTCGTATTGATTGTTGGTCTGTTGGTAATGGTCTCATACTTAATCCGTCTAAATGTCAAGCTGTTAACTTTAGCATGAGACATGAACGGAATCTAAACACCATTTTGAGACACCATAGTGCTTGTACCATCGGAGACTCTTTGATAAACTCAGTGTCGAAGGTCAATTATCTTGGTGTCACCTTTTCCTCTGATCTGTCTTGGTCTTCCCACGTTTTATCGTTATCGAAGAAGGTTTTCCGTCTGACCTATTACATAAAGAGATTGCATGCTCTTGGAATTACTCGTCATTTACTCTTACAATTTGTCAATTCTTGCATATTGCCTATTATTCTTTCCCGGGCTTTTGAGGAAAGACTTTGCTGTATTGCGGAGAGTGCTGAAGGCAGTCAGCAAGACTTGTGGTGAATCTTTCGAGATCATAATTAATATGGTTGTGGATAGACATTTAAAATCATGCAAACTCCTGGCAGGTGTTATTTTATCAGATACTAGCCATCCCCTTCACTCTTATCTTTCTCCTTGTATATCTTCTGGTAGAACGAGACGTAATTACATTAAAATCTATGCACGCAAGCAAAAGTATAAAAGTTCTATAATACCTTACCTAGCAAATATACTCTGTGACGAACAGGTTGTTAGAGTCAACCTAGTCAATAACTTGCATTCTTAACATGTCCTTAATTCTAAAAGTTGTACAGTTTTTTCGGTTTTTTTTGAAAACATTTTCTCTTTTTTTGCATTCGTTACTGTGTTTTTGTTGTTGTTGCGTAAGTAACTTGTTGAAATAACCTGTGCTGAGAATTCTATAATGTACCAAAACTATAATATTGAATGAAGCCATTAATGATAATAATAATAGGAGGGCTGTGTCCAAATCATCTAATTGGTTCTGAGCTTTTTGAATAGAAGATGAAGCATGTTTGTAGTTACTTCGATGTCTGACTTCAGTGCTTCAGCTGGTATGTTGTCGGGTCCTGCGCTTTTCCCGCTCTTGATTTGTCTGATGACCATTCTGGTTTCTTCCGCCGTTGGTGGACTGACATCCATAGGAAGATCTGTGTGTGCTGCTTCGATGTCTGGTGGATTCATCGAAGCCGGCCTATTCAGGAGTTCCTTGAAGTACTCTACCCATCTGTTCTGCTGTTGTTGAATTTCAGTGATTGGCCTACCTTCTATGTCTTTTACTGGTTTCTCTGGTTTACTATATTTCCCTGCTAGTGTCTTCGTTGTATCGTAAGGCTGTTTCATATTTCCTTCCCTTGCAGTCTTTTCCGCCGTCGTTGCTAGTTCTTCCACGTATTTCTTCTTGTCGGCTCTAATGCTCTTCTTCACTTGCTTGTTTGCTTCAATGTAGTCAGCTTGTGCTTGGACTTTATCTGCTCGTGTTTGGCTGCTTTTAATTGCTGTCTTTTTGTTCTTCCTTTCTTTGATCCTGTCCAGTGTTTCTATAGAGATCCATTCCTTATGATGGTATTCCTTTAGGCCCAGAACCTCTTGACATGTTGAAGTCAATGTTTCTTTGATGCCTTTCCAGTTGTCCTCCATAGTAGTTTCTTCTTCCTTCAGTAAATCCTGTAAGGCTTGAAACCTGTTGTTGACCGCTATCTTGAATTCATTGAGTTTGTCAGTATCTCGAAGGAAGGCTGTATTGAACCTTTGTAATGCTGTTTGTTCAGTTCTTCTTTAGCTTCAGTTTTAAATTGGCCACAACTAGGTGGTGATCTAAAGCTATGTCAGCTCTTCTCCTGGTTCTCACATCTTCCATTGTCCTTCGCAACTTTTTATTGATGCAAATATGATCTATCTGGTTCTCTGTGGTGTGGTCCGGTGAGATCCATGTAGCTTTGTGTATACGTTTGTGTGGAAATATTGTGCCGCCTATGACCAATTTGTTGAATGCACACAGATTTGCATATCTTTCTCCATTTTTGTTTCTCTCTCCCAGTCAATCCATGTCGTCCCATGATACCTTCATTTCCGGTGTTGTTTATTCCAACTTTGGCGTTTACATCTCCCATCGGGATGGTGAGGTCCTTTCTTGGGCATTTCTCTATGATTGATTGCAGCCGCTCGTAGAATTGATCTTTAATGTCGTCGTTGCTATCACTGGTAGGTGCATAACATTGGATGATATTCATTGTGATCCCCTTCTTCTTTGTTTTGAATGATGCTTTGATGATTCTGGATCCGTGAGATTCCCATCCTACAAGTGAATTTCGTGCTACTTTTGACAGTATTAGAGAAACTCCCTGAGTGTGTGGAGCATTTTCCTCTTCATGACCGGAGTACAGCAACATCTTTTCCGTATTTAGCCTTTGTCGTTCAACTTTGGGTCCAACGGGTTTACCTGATTCCCAATATCTCTTCATTTCCGTTGCTATTTGATTGGTCTTTCCGGTCTCCCACATTGTTCGGACGTTCCATGTACCTATAAAAATTGTTGCTCTGGTTGTTAGAAGGTGCATCGGCCTCGTGGCTTCCGAAGGAACTCGGCTTTCATCATGAGGCGTCATAGTTCTTCTAAATGAAGACCTTCTAACTTTCAGGGCAGAGTTTAAATGGTTTGAATTACTTTTTCTGGTTAGCGTTTTGGTTTTCTACAGGATGGGGTCGCTAACCCCATGTCCAACCCTCCTCCTTTACCCGGGCTTGGGACCGGCAGTAACTCTAGAAGAGCTATGGGCGGAGTTTTCTATATTGTTAGTCTTCTATATCTAGACGTGTAGAGCACCTCAGATGGTGCCACATCGGAGACATAATTGAATAAAACTCTGAACAGTAAGAATAAAAGGGGTTCCAATTACATTTCATGCGAACTTTTAATAATCAATATAGGGGTTTGTGGAGATTGTGCTTTTCGGTTCTCAGTGGTGGTCTACCTTAGAAAATAATTAGAATTCTAGCTGTTGGGCAAACCTGTGAAGCTATGCATATGATTAGTGAGCTATTCTACTTATATTGATGTAAATTATCACTGCAACATACAATTATCTCTACACTTCAATGTTGTATTTTCGAAACACGAGTAAGACATAAATCTTAAATGTCAGCCAGTCAGCAACAACGTAGAACTTCGTACGTACGTACATCAGGTCAAGTTGCCATACCAAATTAGCAAAGAGATACACTTGTCGATTCAAATCCCATAGTGGTAGAGGTAGTAAAAGTATAAGCAATACTCGGAAAGACTATGGTTTGAAGATGTTATTCAAAAAGTATAATCCAGTGAAATCATAAATGTTGTTGAAAACGTAGTAGATTGCAAGCTAGTAGCAAAAAGAAACAAAATAAAGAGAAGTGATATATGATGGAAGGTCATTTGCTGTAAACCCCGGGTCTGAATTTCGTGATAGTTGAGACTCATCAGCAAAGCGTAACTGCCGTCTCAAACGCTTAGCGAGGGTTATAAGGGCTCGGGTTGCATAGATAGGATTAGCTCCTCCAAGATTGCAGGTGCTTTTTGCTGATGAGTTCCAACTGATACGAAACCTAGGTTTCTTGTCTATTACCTTCAGTCACTCAGCATCTTGACATAGCAGATGCGATATAAAGTCACTCAGGCCGGTGGAAAAACTTTAAATTGTTTGATTAGCAAAAAAGGACCAGACAAACACGAAATTAGTCACTGCTTAGAGATTAATTGATGATACAAAGGTAACGTTAAGATTAAAAAAAGAAAGGATATTCTATCAATTACTTACCAATCCATCCCAATCATACCGCCACATTGTGCAATACTATACTGTACACGTCTTGCAAATGCAATTGAATCTTCTTGATCTAATTTTCTAGTGGGTGGTAAATACCAAACATCTACCATAATAGCCCATGATGTCATTATTTTTAAACTGTACTGGAATAAACTATCTAGGCTGCTGTTCCAAAAACAGTCAGCGAATAATGGATTGTACTTTTATAGGACATGAGAGATGGGGGAGAAGAAAAGTAATCAACAGATAATCAATAAATGGCTTCTATATATCTAAAAGACTAGTTAAAATCATATAAATGATACGTAATGGCACTATAAAATTCAGTAAAATGATTTTTCAATAGTCAAGATCATGGGTCGATTGAAGCTAGACCACCATGGAAAACATGGAAGCACTGGACGCCGTTTCTTCCTATTGTGGGACTACTCAGCAGTGTTTTTATTGTACGGTTGAACGGCCTTGAATAAATGGAAAGGGGTAACTGAAACGAAATAATGTTGGGTGACAAATTCATGAAAAATGAGAAAAATTTGTTTTGTTTCTTTATTGGTTGAGAACTATGTTATATACTACTTATGTCGACAGATATAAGTAGTAATGTAACACCAGTCATAATAGCAATCCATGGCAGCAGAAGGCTATGAAGTTTGACGTGAGGAAAACAGAAAAGGAAATATAAAGAAATTGTAACTTGGAAGAATCATACAGAATGTGAAGGACAAATGACAAGAGATTAGCAAATGAAGTATTCAATGTATGGTTCTCATATTTTACCGAGATTCGAATCAGCCAGTGGTAAACAAGGTGGAACCTGGTACGCATGTGCACCGGTTTAAGTTGCCAAACCTGATTAGCACAGCAAAATGAAATTCTTATGACAACAGACAGAGTAGTAGAAATGCTAACAGCGCTAGTTGTAGTAGAAAATAGAGAATGTGATTTGAGAAGACAGGACGAATTTACAAAATAGGAAGTATAAGTACTGCAAGACAGTTGAAGGCAATCAACAAAACGAGAAGGACAGAATGGAAAATAACATAAAGGCAATTTAGATTTAAACATGTGGAATACAGTGAGAGAAAGGATAAATGTGATGGAAAGATAGAACGTTAAGAATGACGTCTAATTCAAGATTTACAAAATGACAGAGAATGAATATAAATATACATTATATTGTGAATGATTCCACGTTATGTATCCATCAAACGCCATCCAACAAATAATTATGAGGATTACTTAATGGTCTACTATTTTTTAACTCCAGTGAACTTGTGAGTAGTACGATCGACACCTAATGATAAGTGAAAGCAAACAAAATTGTCAGCGATAATGAATGGGTTTGAGCTTGTGACAGCACTTATTAATAGAAAATGTTAGTTGTTACCGTGTCAAAGAATTTGATTCAAGTTAACTGTTATATATGTCGCTATGTGACAATCTAACATATATAAACATATTGCAAGGATTTAAAATGAAGTGACATGTTATTTTTCAGAACATATAACTGCTATCCAGTTGTATTCTGAACTGTAGCAACGACTTATGAGTATCTGATGGTCATAAAAGATAGCAAATAGTGGTACATTTTACTTATTTTCACTAAAGGAAGAACTAAAATTTCAACAAATTGAAGTCAAAGTGGTAGGAGGCAGAGAGTGAGGATGTTTGATAGCCTGTGCATTTAGCAGTTAAGCCATAAATACTGAATTTATTTATTTATTTTAACACATAGATATTGGTACAAGGAGGCACCAAATACATATGCGCCACACGAATCTCATTCGATATGTGTGAGGGCTGTGATACTGCCCGGGTGCCCAAACCGAATGAGAACATATATATTAATTTTCGTTAACACAATTAGCGATAAGTATAAAGTTTAACTTTTACAAAAAGACCTTATTTACGTATAAGCACTCTAGCGACAGTATTTTTATTGAATGGTCAAACAATTGACCGACAGAATTCGATCAGCACCAAAGGACTAACAAACATGAAATTGGTCAATATTCATTGATAAGTCAATGTAAATGTTTCAGTCCATTAAGAAATAAGTCGAGGTCAGAATAGCTCTACAGTAACATTTCAGAATGCGAAGCTGGGGGAAGCGAGTTATAATTCCATAGGGAGTATCAGTTCCCCGAAGATTTTAGGCACTTCTTGCTGACGAGTGATAGCTAGCACGAAACCTAGGTTCGACATTTCCTGCTGACTACAGCAAAACATATATATATATATACTTAGGAAGCTTTCGTTAAAAAGCAATACATACTCTGATTGCAACAGGATGAATTTCAGCGCCCACTTCAAAACAACCTTTCTTGAATTTCATGACTGATGTATTATTGATACATGTACCTTCTGGAAAAATTAGAATAGGTTCAGCATTCGGTGTAGCTGCGTGGTTTTTTAACCTTTTAGCTGTAGAAAGACGATCTAAAATTTCCTCACGATCAAACCAAACGGCAGGCACAGCACACGAGATTACCCGTTCAACAAAACCAAAAAATCCTCCATGCTTTTGCCCAACCTGAATAAAAGAAAAAAACTATTGAGGATAGTGTCATTTATACAAAATAATAGCTAATGTTTAAGGCTTACAAATATTGTAGAAATCATCTAATTAACTAGACAAAACTGGCAAAGAACTAGACAATTGTTTTTTTATTTAACCACTCAGTATTCATTTATAATTTGTTGTTGTATCGGCAGAGTATTATAAATGGTAATATAGAAAAAGTAATCTCACTCACCAGATGCACTTCTATATGAGCCAGACTAAATGTAAGGAGCTAATGATATTACCTGGTTGCCCAAATTGAATTGGGTGAAGTGAGGCTTGGTGGCAGAAAGTTGGATATCGTGACCACTAAATTGTCGCTACGCAATAACGTTTGCCTACCACTCGAAATTGGTGAAATAATGGAACTCGGTTCTCAATCGGTGATAGTTTAAAACAAGACAATGGACAGAAGGAATCTATGTGTATCTTAAGAAAATAGCATTTAAATAATACGTATACATAACCTTCTGCCATTCATTTGCACCTTGCGGTGTGTTCTAAAATGTGAACTGTTTTCTCTTCTAGTCTTCAAGTTTTCTGCCTACGCTCTGCTTTTGATGTGCAGAAACTCTTCTTTCCGTCTGATAACTGCGAGAGCTTCGAGGCCACGTTCCGCTATATACTAATTAAAGCAACCTTGAGAGTAGAGTTCGCCACAGTAGGTTAGACGTTCGAAACTCACCCTACCTACTACGATTGGGGTAGTCGATTAGTAATACCAGTCTACACATAAGGAGTGCAGTTTAAAACTAAGCACAAACATGAATATTTTGTAAAAATGAGTAACTAGTTATATTGAACCATAATCAGTATACCACATACATTTGAAATGTAGATGTATGTAAGACAATATTACACCATGACTAAGTTAAATATGTCAGTTATATTTTTATACGGCACATATCTGTTAGTGATTTGGACAAATAAGCTAGGTGTTTATTCATTTTTGTAGCTGAAGGTCGATCATAAGTGAATGTGTGATTACTTTGATTGAAAAGTAGCAGGCTTCCAACCGAACAAATATTATAACTCTGACTGCTGAAGATTAAGTTCTGTGAAATAAGATGTTCCTCCAAGTGCTTTGAGATATTTTATTAATTACGTTGTCATATTTTTAGAATCTTTGAAGATATATTTCTTATTTGGTTTTCTATTACAGTAATTCATGTTGTTTTAATAACCTAATGAAGTCTAAAATTGATCATAAGTAACATTTATACGTTTCTCCAACTTTTTCTCTTTCAATTGTGAACTAACTGGATAAAATGAACTGTTGTTAATATCAGCAGCCAATTAGGTTATCTCAACAATAACTAAGTATTTATTTTATATTGCTTTTTGATAAGCATCTATCCGGTAAGGATATTGAGAAAATATGTCACGTAGATGTCGTGTAATGTGAAGGCTAATGTCCTCAATATTTGACTCCAATAAATAATATCCCGTAACTGAGTATTTTAGGTAGGCTTAATCTCCTAGTAGAACTGCGAATTTACTCGAGATTATTGAGAAGCCTGAACACCAGTTATAGAGATAGTTTATTGTTAATGATTAATAAAAATCCACAAGCCTACGGTGAGCAAGCACACGATGAAACAGAGTGAGTGTGTGTCTGTTTAAAACCCATATATATATTTTTGCGAGTTAATCGGGTGTGGATAAATTACCGATTATCTGGACATTGAAACCAATAGGAGGATAGCTTAAGGGTTAATTTACAGACATGCATTCGATCATACACACCGAAATTAACATAGTGAATTAAGAGTCTGAGTTACAATGAATAGACAAGTGATACAGTGGCTAAATGGGCTTGCCACAAATGAAATGACTCTGCGTTTTAAGTGAAGCTTATTATTTTTGACATCCTATTGAGTCAAAGAATGGATAGGATTTAATAAATCACCAAACTATGATGAAACTCAGGGATCAGTTTTACAATTAAGGATTTGTTTCTTAATTTCAGGCTGAGAAATTTGTTAACACTAGTGCTAACTACATAAAAAAAATTGGGATTGGATACATGTATATATGAGTAGTTTCGAAAAATACAACACAAACTGAGTTAATCTGAATTTCAACCCATCAATTGAAATTAAGATGAATTTATTCAATCGCAGGAGTTACTATAGTGTGGAAAATAAGTATAGCAAATAGAATAAAAGGTTAATCAATTGATCTGGTACAAAATTATCATATCTGGTCGCTGATAATTATTTATGAAGTTGGAAGTAACTTTAAACATTTGATTTGACTAATATTAAACTGTTAAAACATAATCTTATGTAAGCTAACACCATATTTCGGAGTAGGTGGATGCTTAAGAGTAATCACAACCACTTTAATTGATAAAGGATGACAAGTAATTTCTCCTTTTATCAAGTACTCTACACCAAGAATCAATATTACTCGGAGAGGCAATACTTTGGGAATTCAATAACCAATGACTACAACTCAATCATTTCTCACACTTAGACACAGTTCACTATTGTTTAATATACAAAGCAAAATAACTTCAAATGGTGAAATAAAATTACAGAATAAACTATGGAAAAGTCTTACAACAGCGTAGGTAACGTCTGAGGCCAAAATGCACCAATCAAACGGTGTCGTGTGATTGGCGACACAAATTGTATTTGCTTTAGGGCGGTTTTCTCTATACAAAAGATAATAAGCATAAATACGATTAATATCTAACAGCATAAAATAATTGGGTGTAATAATTTACTATGAGCAAACTTAGAAACAAAGTTTTTTTAGGATATGCGAACAAACGTATGATCTTTAGTTACGATTATAATAAGTTATCAAACTTCATTTCAAATACCTATACCTTAACCAATGACAGTCGAAATGATATGGTTAAGTACTCTTAGTTGTAATTGTAAAACCTTATGAACAATTATCAAAAATGTGTTAGCTTAGTGTTTTCGTCAAACAACGCAGAGATAATATAACTTGATAAAAATCAATCTGGTATATATATATATATATATATATATATATATATATATATATATATATATATATATATATATATATATATATATATATATATATATATATATATATGTATATATATATATATAACTAGTGTCTCAGTTTAACCCAAATACCATCTATTGTTTCAATGTTTTGGTCCCATATACACCGCTGTCTCGAAAGCAGAATTTGTTAACTTCTTTATGTGAACTTTTCGTATCCACCAACCAGATTTACGCATGTTTCAAACTTCTGGTTTTAATGGAGAAACTGGGATTGAGAACCAATAAATCCACTGTGACTGGAAACTGAACAGAACATCCAACTCATACATTGGGAATGTGGCTCGAAGTCCATTATGAAATTATGTGCTAGGTTTGATGACAGAGCATTTCATTATCTAATAATATAATTGATGAACATGATAAGTTATCACTGTTAGTACCGCATTTCAAAGAGGTTTTCCGGAGTTTATTTGGGTCGATCCCGTAACCATCATCCCAGATACAAAAAAAGTCTATAACTTAATAGACGCTATTAAGAAGTGGTCCTATGCCAAAAAGTCTTCCATAATTTTTAAAAAGATGATTACGAATGCTTGGTAATATACGTCGGTTTTTTTTGAAAAAGTAATTGGTCAACGATTATACTAATTGGTTAAACAAACAAACCTGTTGTGGAAACGAATAACAGCGGAGTATGAACACAAATTAAGCCGTACGGCTGCCTGGATTCCTTCGGTGGATAACCAGTTTTTAAACCTTCATAAATGAGTGTAACAAAGTGAAAGTACCGTGAAGGAGGAAGCTTCCGAGCCACAGCGCCTAAAATCCATATTAAGAAAACTGAAGAGAGGAAAACAACAAGTCTGAGGAATTAATGAGAACTATAAAGCTTACCTGCACGGCAGGAATATTACATAGCGAACAATGAGGCCCACAAGCCATAGCATCATTAGGGTGGTATGGTTATCTCTCCTATGAAGTGAATGGTAAAAAGAACACACCTACTTGGCATATACATAACTCTGGTTGCGACTCAAGAAATTCCATACTCTTAACTCTGCAGCTGTGAATCTCTTGGTGACAGAATCTTCTATAATAGCCTAAGACAATAATTTGTAAGAGGCCACAAACCTCTATCCCACATTTAACTAAGTAGGTTGGGTAGTATAATCTGAATCCTTTTTGATCTGGAACAAGATGATTTTTAACCTTTACACCTCCTTCAGTTAGTTGAATGTCCCTTTCAATCAAATCATCATCTGAAGCAAGAGATCACTGAAGTAGAGCAACCAACCATACGTATCAAGGTTTTCAAAACTGTCAACACTCCTTATTCTTTTAATGTCGTCCTTTACTGTGACAGCCGAGGCGGCGTACTATGTGTATACATCAGCGAAATAATTTTAACGTACGGAAAACAGTCTATCCAACATAGAAATATACAAGTGTTGGATAATCTGGATTTTAAAACATGCCGACACTACCGAACTCCAAAAGAACCAGGTGACCGCAAGGAAATAAAACCAGAAAACACAATAAAGTATACTAGGCATTGTAGCAGAGATTGGTTGCTCTTCAAGAGTGTCAGCAGGTGATAGAAGACAGACGACTCGAGAATAATCTGAAAAAAGAACTTAGAATATTTAAACCTTTTCGATTAGAATGCAGCTGTTACCACTGTTAAGCCTTGATATATATGTACACAACCTATAACCCCATCAGTTGTCTAAAAACAATAAGCCATGACCAGGCGGTTAAGAAAACTAAATTCGGTGAGACCATAATTTATGGATGACTTTTGAGCGACGCTAAGTTGACTTTGAGCATGTCCACAAATCATAGTCTCGCCCTAAATTCATTTGTACTGAATAAGTAGATTGTTACACAGGATGAACAAGACGAGGATTCCAATGACGGGCTTACAAAGAAAGCTTGGCAGATTTTTTAATGGGTTCACCTAGTTCTTAGCAGATTGATCATGCTGTTGTACATCTGGCTGACAAGTAGATGCACACAGATGCTCTGTACCCTAATCCCCCTATTTGGCGGAAAATTTTGTCCGTTTTGAGGAAGCAGTTGTGGAGAATTTTAAGGAAATGGCACAAAAACCCAAAAACGTTTCCCCAGATTTTGGGAAATTCCCAAAAAAATCTCCCCAGATTCTTATAATACTTTAGGGGGAAATCTATCAAAATTAATTGATAAAACCCCAAAACTTTTCGCAATTTCGTCTTTTTCTCCAGCACTTATGAGTGAGTGCTCGAATGATATTTAAACTGCCAGGACGGTTTTAACTCAATCTCCCTATTTTAGGGGAAATTTTCTATTTAGGTAAATCTTGGGGAAATTATTACAGAAAACTCTGGAGTCTCTCAAGCTTTGGGTAAATCTCCAAAACGTTTTAGTTTTCCCCAATATTCACCCAGAATCTTATATTTTCCCAAAATCTTCGCAAACTTTGGGGAGAACTAACATCCTCTACGACTTTGAGGAAAACCTCAAGATTTTCCCAAGATAGTGAGGTTGGGAATGTACAAATCTTAGAAAATAACCAAGCTTGAAGATAAAAATTACCAAACGTCGAAGACCTTTTACTCACATACGTTAGGCATCTTTTAGTATGTTTTTCTAGTAATGTATTATTTTACGACAGTAGAAAAATGTTGTCAGTGTTTAGTACTCAATGAGGGTAAAGACACTACGGTCCAAGACAGTGAGCACAATTTCTATTTTCAATCTAAAAACATAAGGTATTCGACTACTAATGGAAAAACTATTTGCGAACAACCTTTTGTGGGGCCCGTTATTTTGTCGCCATTTAGATCGGACGTTTGTTGACGGGCTCTCCACTTTAGTGGCCCGTGGATCTGACTCCAATCAGATCGTATGAATGTTTGTTATCGCCTATCCTCGTATATAATCATCGACTCAAATCGTGTTCCTCAATAGCGGAATTAGTCAAATAACGAGAATGCACTTTTGAATACATATACTTTGTAGATGCAGCGAATAGAATAGAGAGAAAAGCGAAATGATTGGCAGTGGAAATGGTAGGTAAGCCAACTCCCTTTAGTCAAGCGCTAATCAATATTTATAGTTACACATAAATAAGTTACAGACATGTAATGAGTAATGGGATTAGAAGTGCACACACATATGCGCTCAAATAAATAAGTCAAGATTGATATGAATCGAGTAGAATGAACAGAATGGGCTGTACGAAAGCTAGAATAAAGTATATGACCTTAGCATAATAACCGACACTACAAACCCACAGTGCAACAAACTTACCGCTCAACTCTATAAATGGGTATTAATGAGTTAAAATAAATACGATGTAACCCTATGTTAACAGATGCTGATATCAAGGACAACTCACAATGATGCAACAAATAATTCTTCCTTCGAATAAATGTGTCTTCAATTCTGAAAACAACCCTAATAGTTCAAATGGTTCTAAACGGAGTAGAAGCCTTAGCTTAATAAATTTAACAAATCACCTAGGAAACGGCCATGATCTAATGGGTAAAGATTCGGTGTCTTACAGCACTCGTGATAAGGTTTGAATTTGATTTCACGAACTTGTAAGGCCAAAGAAATGTCACTAAACCCTAGACAAATCATCTAGCAGTTGGGCCATTGAATATTGAACAAATAATCGATCCTCATCAAGGCCAAGGACAACCAGCGCGCATCAGTTAATCGTACGCCATCGAAAGGCCCATGCGGCAGTGGTCTTACTTTCGCTTGTATCTACTTTAAGTAATAACGTCCTCTATGTTGTACAGTCTTAAAAGCATCTATAATACCTTGATACGTCACTGGGGTAGTCTGTAACAGCTTACGTTGGTCAGTTTCAGTTTGGGAAGGACAGGAGGCTCGATGGCCTATGTTAGTCCTGGCAATGGTGGTCTCTCAGTTGATCCAACTTTCTTTTGAAAGAGTCAATGGATGGAGCCTCAACCACGTGCTGAGGTAGTGAATTCCACTCGTTGATGATTCGATGGGAAAGTCGATAGTCAGCTGACAAGTAATTTATTCTCGGCTTATGAACTTTTTTGGAGTGTCCTCGTAAATTCTCTGTTTTGGAAGACAAGAAAAATGAGGGCGTGTTAGGTGCAAATTTATCACTAAGCAATTTGTAGACTGTAATCAAGTCGCCTCTAGTTCTGCGATATGACAACGGGAAAAGGTTCAGCTTGGCCAGTCGAGATTCATACGGAAGCTTCGCTATTGCGGGAACCGGCTTAGTCGCCGTTCTCTGAACCTTTTCCAGAAGCTCACTGTTTTTTTTAAAGCAGGGGCTAGCCGCTTGTATGCAGTACTCAAGTTTAGGACGAACGAACACTGTATACAAAGTCAAAAACGTCTTAGTGTCGACATGACTAAAAGCCCTACGTATTGACCATAACGTTCTAAAACTTTTGGCGGCTATTGCACGGCAGTGTGCAGTAGTCTTTAAGTCTTGACTAACGATATCTCCTAAGTCATTATATGTCTGGACGACAGGTAGCTCAGTGTTATTCATCGTGTATTTATCTGTGCCTTGATGACCGATATGCATCACAACACACTTGGAAGTATTTATCGGCAACTGCCATGTTTGAGACCATTCAGCTAACTTCTTCAGGTCATTTTGAAGTTCTAAGCTATCACTCTTACATCGTATCGTTCTCCATATCTTGACATCGTCAGCATATAGCAAGACCGATGATGATAGGAGACAAGGAAGGTCATTTACACACAAGAGGAATAGCACTGGCCCCAAAACTGTACCCTGGGACACTCCACTAAGCACAGTTTCCCAGCTAGATAACTTTGAGTTCACCCTTACTCTTTGTTGACGCCCAACTAATAAGTCTTTTATCCACATCAATAAATTACCTCCAATCCCGACATGTCTTAACTTATATAACAGCCGGTTGTGCGGAACTTTATCAAAAGCTTTACTAAAATCAATGAAGGCGACGTCTACAGGTAGCTTTTGGTCCTTAAGAGCACACCAGCTTTCACGAGCCACTAATAAGTTAGTGAGACAAGAATATCCTATTCTGAAGCCACGCTGCTTCTCCGAGAGGATCCGGTTTTTATCGAGATACCTAAACAGCTCCTTCCGAATAATCTTTTCTAATATTTTAACAACCACACTAGTAAGGCTAACGGGGCGGTAGTTCTCAGGTTTGTGTTTCGTGCCTGTTTTGAAGACAGGACTTACTATGGCGTTTTTCCAATCTTTCGGTAAGCGACCCTGCGTAACGGATAGGTTAAAGCATGTACTTAAAGGGTTCGCAACGAAGTTAGATAATTCCTTCAGTAGCTTAGGATGTAATTCATCGGGCCCCGTGGATTTACCTATGTCAAGGTTATTTAGCAGACCAAAGACATCGAGTTCTTCAATGGTCACGCTATCCAGTGTATGTATGGGGGGATCTGTATACGCTGACGAGAAGGGCGCTTCTATGGTATACACGTTGCTAAAGTAGTTCGAGAACGCTTGAGCCTTACCAAAGTCATCCTCCACTAATGATGAAGCAGTACTGTCTCCCCATAGAGCAGGAATATTTCCTTTTCTCCTTGTCCTTTGATTTATATAGGAATACAAGCGTTTAGGACATTCTATGGATTCCTTAACAAGTTTTTCTTCGTACAATTTTCTAGACTTACGGAGGGTCGAGGCACAAGTATTCCGAGCCTTTCGATACTGAGATTTTGACTCATCAGTCCCCAGTAACCTAAATCTATCCCACGTTTTCCTTTTCTTACGGAGAAGGATACGGACCTCCCTACTGAACCATGGTGGTGAGTTTTTCGGCCCCTTTGGTATAGTCCAAGGGATGTGAGGTGTGGTAACTTTTAAGTATGATTTTCGAAATGCGTCCCAGGCCGTTTCAATGGAGGACTCTGGGTCTATTGTCCAATCTATTAACGATGCTGAGTGCATGATGTCTGGTATGTTTGCTTGCCAGACGTTGGGTCTGGACTGGACTGACGCGTCCTCATGACTGGCAGATATATGGAAGTCGAAAGTTAAAACTGCGTGGTCACTTTTACCTAAGGGTGGCATATGGTGGAGGTTCGCAACATCATCCTCATAGTGAGTCAGTATAAGATCTAATAAGGATGATTCAGTGTCCGGGTCGTACCTAGTCGCTTCTTTCACATGTTGCACTAGGGCACATGTGATAACCGCATCAACTAGTTCCTGCTCGAAGGAATTTTCTGACGATTCAGTTCGCAGATTTTCCCAGTCTACCATAGGTGCATTAAAGTCCCCTAGGATTAGACATCGACCACTTTGGGACCAAGTATTGAGACTGCTTAACAGGATCTCATTTGCCTCACAGCTTGGACTGCGATAGACCAAACCAATCAGCAGCTCTTGTCCCTTGCATTTTAAGCGAAGACTAACTAATTCACACGTCCCACTCTCATGGGATACACTATCGATAATGGTAAATGGGATAGCATTCCTAATGAATAGAGCTACTCCTCCTCCTTTGCGCTTTTGTGTTCTGTCGGCCCTTACTAACGTAAAGCCTTCGAAATCAAGTTCTATACTATCTATAGCCTGTGTCAGCCAGGTTTCTGTTACTGCGATTATGTCTGGCTTTTTAGAGTCAATCTGTACACCTAGTTCCGATCGCTTATTAAGTAAGCTTCGTGCATTGGTGTAACAGATCCGAAGCCTGTTTAGGTGCCTTCGTGCTTCACCCAGACTGGCTTCGGCATCATTCTCTGTCGAAGTCTTACAACCCGAAAATTTACAATTTTCAGGTCCTTTTCGCCAGCGTCTAACCTATGTTGTAGTTCTTTCTCGGCTTCCCGTCTTTTAACACGGTCTGCCAACGGTAGGTCCTTTCGGATAAAGACTCCCGAACCCTTTAATTTGTGTCCATTTTGTAAAATTAGGTCACGTTCGTTTGAAGAGCCGAATACTACTTTAAGCAGTCTGGAATGATTTGGTTTCGAGTCCGTTAGACTCCCTAGTCTATACACCTTTAGCAAGGTGACCCCAGTCATATTTTGAGGCATGAGTTGATTAAGCAGCTGCCTAATCAGTACAATGTCATGCTCAAAACGAGCTTTAGGTTCAGAGCTATCGCTCTCCTTAATTCTATGAAAAATAGCTGATCTGTCGCTATGATCAGCTTTCGGTTTTTCAACCACTTTTACGGGGGCAGGTTTCCCTTTTATATCAATACTTTTCTTCCTTACAACCTTTACCCATTCGTCAACGCTGCTGGTAGAAGCAATAGCAGTTGCGTCAAACCTAGTGTTGGGTTTTGGGGGGTTGTCGACGACCTGAGGGGTCGTGTTATGTTTACCATTTGAAGCCGATCGAGATTTGCGATTGCGGCTCCTAGGTTGTAACGACCGAACAGCCAATATTCGGTTGGAACAACGGACTGACGAACCCAAAATTTATTCGATTAGACCAGACCAAGTTCCTCTGTATAGCCCACAACGCGTCTTTGAGATACTCGTATTGTATTATATCAAAACACAAACTCTGTGCTCAATATAAACGGTTCTAATTAAGAAAACAGAACAAATTACATCAAAAATACAAAATACCTCAAACGGTACAGCCTGTGCTATACAGTCAGAAGTTTCTCTAACGCAAAGTAGCGCGCTAAACAATGAAAGAGACAGTTAATACTAAAGGGTTTGATACCTGAGAATCAATACAAATATTCCCAATCAGATGGGATCAAATATCTATCTGCAGGGATTGCAGCAATTCTCCCAAGCAGACAGTCAGAAGGTTAAGTCACAAACTGAACCACGCCGTGACCTTGAGCTTAGTCAAACACAACCTTACTGTCAATGGTCCGGCAACATGCAATAGAAAATTAGGTAACCAAAAATAAGTCTTTAATCAAAATCACATAACAAAGGCTCAAACGAGGAAGACTGAGGAACAAAAGACATGGTTAAACGAGATCGAAACAAAGGTTGGAATACACAAAAGGGAGAAGGAACAAATAAATGACAATACTGTTCAACAAAGAAGCTGCAGAGGGATTTTCACTGTTCTTTTTCCGTTACATAGGTGTTTCCTGTTGGATCCCATCTGGGAGACGAGGAACAGAAGACCCTACTTTTCTTGAGCTTTTTTTAGAGCAGGCCGCTTTGGAGAATGCTTTTCCTTCTTTGACGGGCGTGAGTCATCTATCACCGGACTCACCTTAGTTTCCTTCACATTGATTTGCGTGTCAACAGATCGAGTGCTGTTTGACGCGTTCCGACTATGCTTGTTGAAACACTTCTTTGCAGCATCAACCAGTGAGATGGCCTCGGTTAACAAGCTGTTTGCA